ATGTGTCATTGTCAAGTCCGTTCTGGGATCGATGACCAGCATGTTAGTGTGCTAGACTTGTGTAGTACACCCTCTATATCGCAGCAGATATCGAGTTCATCATGGCCGTCAGATGGTTCAGTTCAAACCCAAGACATTCGGTGCACAAGCAAGGGATGTGATCGAAGCCGGAACATAACAAGAAGCAGAATCATGAACATTACTCATGATAGTTATAACAGTAATACTAGTAGAAGCAAAATATAGCAACGATAATGAGAACTAGGTGTTCAGTGTCGTTTGGGCATCAGAACCACAGGATGTTTATCAACGGCTCTAGAAGTTCAGCTGTTGCGATACACACTGAGACAGCGTGTCGGAAGAATGCAGAAATGGGCTTAGTGCAGTCTCGCTTTCACTCCAATCGTCTGTCATCTTCTTTGAGTGCCGTGGTCTGCAGTTCTAAGTCCAGTCTTGCAGCTGGATTTCCACTCGACTGCCAAGTGAGGATGCCGCTGTCCGTCAGTGGCTTCGTACGCTGGGGCTAGCTGCTAGCTATGCCGCGCGTTCCCTTGATTCACCTGGTGGACAGGTGTGCAAGCGGGCAATGGAACTGGCATCTGTGGAGACTCTGCTGCATTGAGATCTTCAACTGTCGTTGGGCAGAAGAACCACTCTGTGCTCGTTCAGGTTTCCTCGCATCTACGACCGTTACGTCTCTGTCATCAGAAGACTTGTGCACTTCTGCATGTTGAGCCTGTCGCCTTCAGTCCTTCGCGCAGCATCCGAGGATTTTGTGCAGCTAACCACCGGTGCGGCAAAACTGGCCACCCGACCTCAAATGGAGCTCATGACAGAGAAGCCTTCAGCCATTTCGATCGCGGTATTGTGAGAGCTGGCGTCTTGACCTTGCTCGACCAAAGGGGCTGCAGAAGAGTGACGTTGAAAATGCTGGTGACGGTTTTCTTACAACGGGCGAAGCTATGCTTGCTGTCAAGCAGACTTGTCTGGTTCCCCAGGCCCAGTCAGACCGGAAACAAGATCCGTGATCGTGTGGGCTTCTCGTCAGGAGAGGAAGGCAGAAGCCGTCGCGGGATCTATGGCCAGCTTATTGGAGGGCCGGCCGTCCGAACAAGTCAAGGCCTGTGTTCCTCGAGGCTACTCAGGGTGAAGGCTTGGATTTCGGTAATTCGAGGCGAGGACAAGGGTTGTTTTTGTTGTTTTCTGATGCCTCTACTCGACAGACCCAGAGCAGAGCGTGCAGAATGCAATGCCGGCGACCCTGCCACCAAACCATGCCGCACTTTGGACTGTGTGGCCGTCCTGCCCAACTCCGACTCTGAACCAGTTCATAATATGTTCTCTACATGTTTGTAAACTTCAGTAGCATCTAGATCGCCCGACATTTGCCAGGCACAGGTCAGCGAGTGGCAGGCCCTGTGCAAAGACCTCCTGCTTGACATGGCCGGGCCGTGCATTGGCTTTGCTTTCGGGGGGGGGGGGGGGGTTGGGCCTTGTTTAGGGTTTACAGGGTAAGGATTACAGGGTTCAGAAAGTTTAGGGTTTCGGGACTTGGGCTGGGAAGAAGTGATGTCCAATTCTGCCCCCTTGTGCTTGGTCCCGGTCTGCACGAAGACCTCTATGTACGTACGACCTCTCAAAAGAAGCAGTGATTTGGTTTTCCACAGCTCAAGAATTCAAGTCGACTGTCGCAGTTGGAAGCCAAGACTGGTTGATCGCGCAGCCAACGCAGATCATCCTCATATAAAAAGTGAAGTTGCCAGTGGAGGTCACCTCAATTGCCTGCACGCCCGCAGGAACAGGTTGGCGATTCCGTCAAGGCCACACCATGACGCTCTCAGATTGCTGCATTTGGGATTGTTGGCTTTGCCGTCGAAGTCGTCGGGGAGCAAAGTCGTGTAACTTCTCATGACTCGTGCAAGTTGTGTTCGTGCTTAACTTGTCACAAAATCTCGGCCCTAGTCAAAGTTGCTGGCCGATCATGTTCTGGAATTTCAATTGCTCACTCAGCAAGTAAAGTTGCAGGGCGCTCAGGCTTAGTGGTTTCGGCGACGAGCTGGCTTCGAGTCGCAGTACTCTGGGTCGCAGGTTCGCGAGAGGATTCAAGGGCCGGGTTCAGCAAAGCCTGCGCGGCCCATGCTCGCGCGATGCCGGGCGATGGGATGGCAGGTGGACGGCCTTCCCAAGGGCATCGCCGACAAGGTTTGGATGCAGAAGCCGGAAGCCAAGCGCGCGCATTTGTAGTTGCTCAGATTCACGGGACGGCTTTTGAAAGTAAGTTCCCGCAAGTCACAAGTTGCAGGGAGCCTTTTCACGCGGGCTAGTTCCCAAGGGGCTGCGAACGGGTTGAGGCTCCTGATTGCTTCGATGAGATTTGCAAGTTGGAACGAGGGCTTTGGGAGAACAGATTCTGTGATTTGTAATGAGAACGATACGGGAAGAGTTTCAGGCAGCGGATTTTGTTTGCCGTTCAGTTCGGGAAGGAACGAAAATCGAAGCAGACCGACTAGCGCCAGCAGGCAAGCGGAGATTCGTGGAGCATCAAGGACCCTTGTGGCAAAACTGGGGAGCGGGGCTTCGTGTAACTGTCCTTCATCCGGGAGGGTTCCTCTTTAAGATTTGCGGAGACTGGTCGTGACTTGATAAAAAAAGAGAAGGAGGGATTTTCCGATTCGAGGGTCGCCGGGTCGTTCTACGCCTGTTGCAAACCGCCGATGGCAGGAAGAAGCAAGAAGAGGCTGTCGAGGAAAAGCCGAAGGAGAAGACGAGCAAGAGCCGCGCCAAAACACGTGCCCTAAAGCCCCGTATTAGTTCTGCATTTGTAGGGACATGCGGCTCTGAGATGAGACCCAGACAGTAGCCCAGGAAGTCCGCAAAGCAGAATGCAGTGACTGCGAAGAAGCAAGAGCTGAAGATCGAGAAGGAGATGCAGGACTCGCCCTTTTCGGAAAAAAAGTCCGCAAGAAGTGTGTCAACCAAGCCGCAACTTTTGAGCCTAGCGGCCTAGCCATATGGTTTCGGAAGCGAAGAGTTTGCCTTGGTGCGCTGTACTTTTTCGCAGCTTCAAACAAGCTTGTCACCTGGTTAACTTGGTTTCGATTTCAGGCCGTACCCCCAATATGAGGCAAAGAGGGGACAGATGGACCGAATATGAGTGAACTGTGAAATTCATCCGAGAGATGCTGTGCAAGAACATACACGTGAAGGACATGTCGAGGAGAAGGCTTGGCAAGTTGAGGCTGTAACCACATCAGTGTTGAGGAGCCGGCAAGGTTCGGTTCCGCTTGAGCTGCTAAGCCAGCCTTCCGCTTGAAAACTCCAGGACCAAGCACTGAGAAAGAAGTGGCTGGGCTGAATTGAGGAAGCTTCTGGTGCCCAGAGAAACGAAGAAGTCTCAACCGAAGAGAAACCGGGTGGGCTTTCAACAAGATCTGAGGCAAATCATGCTGGGCATTGAGGCCGGTCCGGAAAAACGCCGGAGCTTCTGATCACTTGAGATGTCTGGCGGAAGCGGAGTCCCAGGTCACATTTGCTGCAGACGGCTTCGGGGTTTCACATTAGGGACAGGCTTGTCGAGGCCTGCCCGCAAGTGTGCTGCACGCATCTTCCTGCTTGCCAGATGTTATGGTCCCAGCTGCCAGAGAACGAGGTAGCAGGCATGGGGAGGGGTAGAAGCTCTTCACGTGAGTTGGCTTGGCCTGAATGACACGGCGCTGAGGGCGACAAGTCTAGGTCTAGGTGATCTGTGGCCAGAGGCTCGCTTGCAGGCTGCTTGCTTCTGCAAAAAGCTCCGCTGCCGTTTGCCTGTTGGCCAGCTGCTGCATAATCACAGGCACACTCTTATGCATGTTCAACCTGTGGAGTGTTTCCAGCAGATACGACAATGTTCGTTTGCAACCGCTTGAATGCCCACCTGTGACGCCATGCGCTGGGATCACTCCGGACTTGCTCTGGACGCCTTGACGGGGTGGGGTGGACCGGGTGGAGGTACTGGAAGACCTCGCCATGGCCAAGAGCTCGCATCCTTCTTGAGCGTTAATGACTCCGTTCTCATTCCAAAGGCCTCGAAGCGGAGGGACGGCGACTTTGTCTCATTCTTCAAGGCAGAGGACTTGGCCCCGCCGGGTGGGCTGCCACCTCCCAAGGGCTGGGGAGAAGGCAACGACTCGCCCTGCAAGACTTGCTCATGTGGAGACCAGTACGAGGAGGAAGGTGCGGAACAAGGGAAGGTGGAAAAAGGATATCCGAAGATGGTCTTCCCCAATGTTCCACATCATTCCTTCTTCCCGCACAAACGAGGTTACAAGCTCAGCCAGTTTAAAGTCTTCGCCTTGTTCTTTGCAGGGTTAGGCTGTGGATATGCTGCTGCCAAGTCGCTCACGCAGAAGGAGCAGCCTATGGAGTTGGCTAGAAACGAGGAGGTCGCTGGTGCTCGCACGGCTGCGTCGTAGGCCCATGGGAGGCACGAGCAAGGATGACATTTGCATGCCGTAAGCGAGGCCCTGGTTGCAAAAGATGCAAGATCAGGTCACGAATGAGCCGCGCGGCGAACTGGAAAAAGCTCGTGATGGTTTAGTGAAATGAATGAGTGTAGTGGAGGTTGTGGTCATTGAGGCTTCTGTTGCTGTAGTCACCAGAGTCGATCCTCAGCTTGCAACGGAGACCGTCGCCAAGTGTAGGCCCATGGGCCCATGCTCTTCAGAACCAGCACCTGCACTTGAACTCAAAACGGCCCTTCTGCAGCTGACGCTGTCTCCAGCCACGGCTCCAGCATGGTGCGGAGCTCGGCCTGTGTCACAAATCAGCTGAGTGCATTTATCGAGGGTCACAGTGTGAAGAACAATGGGTATCTCCATATCTTTTCACGACAGTTTTCCAAGTTGCAGTCCCTGCTGCTGCTTTGCCACTGCTGTTGCTACTGCTACTGGTGTTCCTTCCATCATTGCTTTGGTTGCTTGCAGAGTTGGTAGACGTGGACCTGCCGTGGTTGCTTGTGATGCGGAAGCCAAAACACCCACTATCCGGTCGGTCAAACTCTGAGGTCTCAACTTTAAACCCCAAGCCCCCACCCAGTTTTTCTCCAGGTCTAAGGCATTTGCTTGTATTCTGCGTGTTAACAGTTGCCTGGTTACCTGTAGGAGTGCCTGCTGTATCAGCAAGGACAAACTCTCACTACTTCGAACACGGCATTGTTAGACAAGTATCACCACTGTTTTAAGTGTGCTATTGCGAGAATCGCACACTTACTCTTGCCACCACCAGTATCATCGCCATTGCTACGAAGATGAACCGGAGGTTTCGAGCCCTGCGGGCCCTGCGAGCCCTGCGGGAGCAGGGCCCAGCCGAGCCGCACGCCCAACGCTGCAGACGTCCGGGGCCTCAAACGTTCCCGCACGGCTGCGAGCAGGGCTTTGGGGTTTTGAGATTTTTAGGGGTTTTGTGGTGTCAGAGGCCTAGGATGCGAAAAGTAGGGATTTTCATCCATGCAGACCGGATGCAGAAAAGGGTGGGACTTCGATTCTTTGTATTTGTGTTGCGATGCGTTTCTGCATTCAGACGTGTGTGTCTAAATATACAAGAACAATAACATATAAGTATGTATATATATAAATATACAGATAGATATTTACATTTGTTTCTTTGTTTATACATATGTGTAGCTCTCCCTCTCTCTATAAATACACGTCTATGCAGAAAAAGCATGCAAGCAACATTAGTGCGTATGTATGTATATACACATACACACACACATACATACATACATACATACATACATACATACATACATACATACATTCATTCATTCATTCATTCATTCATTCATTCATGCGTGCACACATCCATACATACATACACACATACGTACATACACACATACATGTATGCATATATATATATATATATACGCATGCATGTATGTATGTATGTGTGTATGTACGTATACATATACACATGCATGTATATAGGTATGTATGTATGTATGTATGTATGTATGTATGTATGTATGTATGTATGTATGTATGTCTGCATGCATGCATGCATGAATGCATGTATGTATGTCGGTATGTATGTATGTACACTGACCTCGTCGAGTGCGAGTGCTAAGATTGTATGTGCATCCATATGTAAACATTTAGATGCTGGTGTTTATAGTGTTTGTACATGCATGTGCACTAACATCTGTATTTATGCTTTTATCATATCCATATCTGCATCTGTCTCTCTGCCTCACACACATGCAAGAGGGAAGCAGGGACGGAGAGGGATGTTGTGCATTAAAGCGACATACGTACATACATACATACATAACTAAATACATACTTACATATATACATACATACAT